TTAAATTTAAAAGCTCAAATGCTGTACATGAGAGGTTAAGCTTTATTGGCTCCTCCTGGCGGTTTTACAAGGTGATTCCGGACACTTTCCTGTATGACGTCAAATGACGTGTTACACCGCGTGATACTGCGTTTTTATGCGACACGCCCACTGCTCTATACCCCACGCGTTTTGAATGGCTGCATCTGTACCTTGAAGTCTTTGCAAATACAGGACTTAATACCCCATGGGTATTAAAGGGACTGGACATAAACAGGGTTTGTTGGCTGCTACAGAGTGGGGGTGGTGTGTGTGAATGGAGAGACAACAGTAGCCTCATTCCCTTCCTATTCAACCAACCCACTCTTTTGCTCCTGTGGGGAACACAAAAATTGAGACTTTGATAGCTTGGTGGACCAAGGAGGTTTTTTTTTGTTATTTAACATTTCAGAGCTTAACACACACATAATTGCAACCTCATAAAGGATCAACACACAATGGACATCCAATACTCTCACGCTGTAAACCGAATAACTAAAGCATAAACATTGATGCACTTGTCAATTGTTAGTTAACCACGATATGCAGAGACCAACAGGCCAGCAGAAGTACATCCGTGAGACAAAGATGTGGAAGTGGGTGTCTGTATTTACTCCCCTACTGAGCAGCGAGCGAATATGAAATTTTGCCCCATGAAAAAATAAAAAAATGGATAAAGAGGTCACTAATGATTTCACACAAATAGGCAAAGATGGTAAATGCAGAACTTGAGAAAAATAAGGATTTACTATACTTGAATACTGATCAGATTTGAAATGGGTGCAGTGAATAATATGTTTATGAAGCTGTGATCCAATCACTGCAGCAAATGAAAGGATCTGACGTCAGTTTTTAGGTCCTGATACTGTATCCTGCCACATCTGAAGGTGATCATGTCCGTTTTCTCTCCTGGACCCCATAATTTCAGATGGATTTGAATAAGAATGAAAATTGACATGCCAGATGGTGGAAAAACAAGGGAAAATCAAGGCTGTCAATGCGAGCTCTTGTTCTGGTTCCCTTAACCAATTTTTCAGGCACGCACACACAGATGGACAACCTCAAAGGAAAATGGAGTTGAAAACCTTCCAAAGCATGTGGATTGTGAGAATCAGGAGAACCTGCCTTCAGAGATGCAATTTTCATTCACCAAAGACATTGAATACAAGTTTGCAGCTGACAAGGCGTAAAAGCTAGTTTACTTATTTCACACAGCACATTCTCCAAGTCACCTGCTTAACAGCCTGTACAAGTACGTAAGAGGACAGCATATTCAGACAAGGTATGGTTTCTAAGATCTTATCCAACTTCCCCAGAAAGCAGCTGAGGATGACCTGCCTTCCCCCTTCACTTGACAATTCAAATTCAAGAAAATTGGTTAGGTAGCATTTAAAAGGCAGGAAGCACAGAGCCTCTGGTATGGGCTCTACACAAGTGAAAAGGGAGCGACCAATGAGTCTTGGAACATTATAGTGCCTATCTACGAGTTAAAATCAGTTTAATGCTGATGTCAGTAAGTAGCTTAGAAGGGACTATACAGTAGTCTAGTTAGGTCTTCATGAGAGATCATATTTTGTGTTAAGGTGTTATAAAACATCCTGAGCCTTCTAATCTACCATGTGTGAATGGCTTATATGCCTATATTCTGTGTGCCACACTACTAGAAATAGAGACCTCTCAAAAACTCTGAACCCAGTTAATTTGAACTCAGCTGCTGGTGAAATCTGAGTCACAGTTGACTAGTATCATGGCTCAGAACTGAACCATTGACATTTGGACAGCAGGGTACAAATAGATATTGGACCATGTTTGAGTTACAGTACATTCCTTTGAAAACTGTGGACCAAATGAGGGAAGACAGCTGAATGGATGGCAATTTAAAAGGCAGCTGCTGTCTGGATAGGGGTGCAAATTTTCTATTCTTAACTGCCCCTGACACTTAGGCAGTTGGATGGGATTGGCCCAAGCCTACAAACAACATTGGAAGACAGGGGATCTGGGGGGGATGAGAAGGAGGGGTTTCTGTTGAAATCGTGGGAACTTCGTTTATCTCCAGATTGAGATAAGATTTTTTTAATATGTTGCTCCAATCAGATAACGAAAGGTCGCAGGTTTTCCCCGAGAACTGTAATTTGGACAAGATCTGCCATTTTGTATGAATCTTCTGCTCTCTAACACTACTAGTGAGCAAAACTTTCAGTATGGCTTAAAATTGTTTCATAGTAAGATTGTTAATGATGTTTTGACTCAAAATATAATGACATTGTAAATATCAATTAGTTCTTGCCGTTTCACACTGTTTTGGAATGGTTACAAGTGTGATGGTTTGATCTATTTTTCCAGTCTAAAGGACCTTGGCCTTTGGAGCATCGTCTCTTTTAAGGATCCCTGGCAAAGTATGCAGATATACGAGAAATTCTTCAACCATTCCACAAAGACAGATGTGTCAGGTACTGTGCTTCTGAATCAGAAACATGATTATAAATTAAACAGAAATAATTGGATAATAAAGGCAGGGAGAAAGTCATTATGTGCACAAACATCTAATTCTCAAAATGGAAAACCAGCTGAAGACATTTCTCTTAGATTGCATCAGTAAAATGTCCAGTTGTATAAATGCAAGTCACTTTGGATAAAAGCATTAGGCAAATAAATGAACAATCATAAAATCCAGTCATGTCTCAAAATGTACTTTTTACAAAGTAGTTGTAAAACCAATCAGTATATACTGCTAGATAATTTTTCTTCAGAGTATATTTATACTGCTGGCTCTTAAGCCACAATGATACAGTACTCTATAGGGCAAAACTGATTTTGGCCACAGTCACAAAAAGCTCAGGAAGGAGCCCTGACTCACTAATATTTGCAATTAAATGAGACGTTTAGTTTTATTATAGGAGGTACTCCTCTTGTCTGCAACCATGTATAATTACAGTGCTCAGATATTTATCAAAATGTGATTATCACATTTCTGAAATTATAAATGTGAATCTTTGATTTAATGACCATATCTTGAGACAAAGTTAAAACATCACAAAAACAGATACACTTATATAACTGTCTTGTATAACAACTGGATCAAAGAGGGGGGGAGATGTGGTGTGCAACCTAGAATTCACAGAGTACCCCAAAAGTCAAAATTCCCCTTTTATATTGAATTACTAGAGTAGCACTGTTATAGAAAGAAATTGTCTCATGTATGAAATATCCTAAATGAATATTTATTTCTTTATTAAATGGCTTTGTATCTGCCCTTTGCATTCTGAAAACTGTATTTCATAATAATAATAATCAGCTTGAAGCTACTGAGGACAGTTACTAAACTGTTACTTAATGCGTGTATGAGCACATGCAGACCCGTTAATATAACTAATTCAACTATTGAAATTATTATTTTATACCTTAAAGTGTTATACTTTGTACTTATAATAGGTAAGGAATCATCTTGAACTGCTTTTAATTATGTGAATTTTTCTAAAGCCATGCTCTGCCTCACCAGATAGGTCCTTACTGTATGTTTTCACTCAATAGGGTCTGCTATCCAGAAACTGTTTTACAGTTTTCTTAAAAATGAAAAAGGACAGTAAGCAGGAACAAATTAGTGCATTTGTGTTTCCCACAGTTTTTCAAGTACATCCGATGCTACAGCATTTGACATGAGCCAGAAAATGTCAATAAAAGCACCGACAAAGTTCTTACACTAAAAGCATGTTGTTGTCAATACAGGGAAAGTGCAACTATATCGGAAGAAAGATTGGTTTTTTGGGTCTCAGTATCTAAACGGCACCAACCCCATACTGATCAAACACTGCAAGGAGATCCCCCAAAACTTCCCAGTTACTAATGAGATGGTCCATAAATTCCTGGAAAAATCCAGCGGCCTTCAGGAAGAAATGGAGGTGAGTACGACCTGCACTTGAAACGTGTAACGTACAGGCATGAAGAAGTTCAAGCAGGTAGCGGTGTTAGCATGTGTCGGCTGCAAAGGAACAGGTAAAGTTTTATTCCGTGCTAAAAGGATAGGAAAAGAGAATGTTTCAGCTGTGGAGCCTTCTTCAGGTGTGTCATATTCAGCTCCACACCCGAAACGTTGTTGTGAAGGAATAAAACTTTACCTGTTCCGATGTACAGGCATTACTTCAATAGTTTAGATTTAGTAAACAGTTGATTTAGGAGTACATGTTTCTGAATAATGATTACCAGTAGCCTTGTAACTTTGTACTTTCGGCAAAAACACACTAAATCTGAAAATAAACATGAACATTATATGCGTGTTGTTATGCCGATGTTCACAGGACATATGAGCATAAACATATGAGGAGGGAAGACCCAATCCCAGCCTTCATTCTAGAGATTGCTTTCAGGATCAGAATAATGTTGGTCTTTATTTCTCACAGCTCATTGTCAGCTTTCCAAAGAGGTCCTAGTCTGATTGTCAGCATTCTGTCTGTGTTAAAATACCTAATGAATGTCTAAAATTTCATATCAGGTGTGAGGCTCACATCTACAGGATGGGAAATTTTTCTCAAGCCTATTACATGCTGTATTTCTCAACAATTTTAATCCATAATTATCCTTTCTGGATTGTAACCGATGTTTATAGCATTGCTTTTCCTGATGAATATCACAGTAGGCAGGAGCCTATCACAGAGGCATGGGTCACAGGGTGGGACTAAGTGCACACAACTGCTCTCCAGTGCATCACATACAGGAACAGTTCAGAATGGTCAATCAAATCAAGATATTGGATGGAAGGAAGACATTAGAGCATCTAGATAAAACCCACACAAAGTGTGAAAACATGCAAAGTTCTTACAAACACTGAAGCCAGAATCAAACCCAGAGACCTTGGTTCAATTATAACTGCCATTTCACTGTGCCCTCCCAATGCTAGACCTGTTTACCTGAAATAATAGTATTCAGTTCAATGTGAAACACTGTCTTCTGAGGTAAATACATGTATTGAGCACATTTAAAAAAAAAATTGAAATAATCAGTTTGCCTTGCATTTCCAAATATGTCTTTAATAAAGTACTGTAACTCATTTCAGTTCCCAAAGGGTGCAGATTAGCTCCTTTTATTATTTTGTTTCTACAGAAGGGCCATATCTACCTTGTGGACTATAAGCAGCTCGATGGCATCAAGACCAACACCATCAATAAACAGAAGCAATTCCTTGCTGCTCCTCTCTGCCTGCTGTATTTGGATCGTGAAGAAAACCTGAGGCCCATTGCCATCCAGGTGCCAGACGTCATGCAATTTACCATCTAAAACACCTAAAAGTGTAGATTTCAAACAATATTCTCAAGTATTTCACTAGTACTGTCAAAGTCTAATAGCGGCAAAATGAGCCAATTAATAGAGTGACAGCATACCTCCTACTTCTGCTTTTAACTCCCCTGGCAGAAGGCACTGTCATGACCCTCCCAAACTTATAACGACTAAACCAGGGAGGATGCTGCAATGGTGAAGCTGGGGTAAAGGGAGAAGTGCTAGAAAAGATGAATGCAAAGTTCTGGACTTCCTTCCAAACATTTGTTAAATTACATCATTTCAGACGTTTGGTTCAATTATAATGAAGACTAAATGAGGGGACAAATATAAAGGGATAGAATACCCTAATTTGTGTTAACTCACCTGGCTGGACAGAGCAGGCCAAAGATCAGTGCTATCACTACACCCCCAGAAAGATCCCCTCTGAACATGGGGCTAACAACAAGTGAGGCTGGCAACAATGTTTCACTGATGAGCACTTAGTTTGGAATGAATGAGAAGTCTGAGCTCTTCTGGACAGAGCGACCACCAGTGGGAACAGAGGAATGAGAGACTGGGGACATGAGACAACAAGTATACTCTGGGGCTGCAGATGTGGTGGGCAGGACACTCAACCTGAAATGGCGAGGAAACGAGAGGGAGAGCTAGAGAGGGTGGGATTGGGAGAAGAGAAAGTGAGGGATGAGCGTTGAAGCAGCCACAGCTGTTCCGAGTTCCTGCGAGGGCTGCCAACATGAGAGCTGAAAGAAAAGAGCAGAACCAGATCCTTTCTGGAGGTTGAAGATCCGCTTGTTTCAAAAGAGCTGAGAAAGTGACTCTGGCACTGGTTTGTGAAAAGGAAACAGGATAAAGGTGAGATTTTTTGTAAAGGTGAATATAAGAGATTAGAAAAGTGCCACAAAAAAAGATGTGTGCAGTTGTGGGCAATCAGGCACTTATTAGAAGTACGTGATCATAAGTGCAACTTTAGAATACAACTTCATCCCAGACTTCTGTTAAAAAACACCACTTGGTTCAATCCCTTCTATTTTAAGGGATTTTCTGCTGAGCAATCCTACTTAAGACATTTGCAATAAATAGTTGACATATTAAGACCTTTAATAAGAAAAGCTATGCCAGTTGTCAGTTTATCAGTAATGCCATTAACTAGTGTAAGAGGACACGGGGAAGGGTCATCTCTAACAGGTATTTCCGAAACGAAACGCTGAAAATGCTAGAGATTGACCTTAGCAAGATGGCGGACAAAAAGAATCAGCTGACCAGTAGATGGAAAGGGTCTACCTTAAGAAACA